GGATCGGTAGAAATCTCTCTTTTTACTAAAAAAAAAACCATTTTCTTTCTCGTTATCCAAAGGTCAAATACATCCATAACAGAATGATTTTGATCATCATTAAACCACTCTTTTTATCCACAAAGGATATTCTCATAATATCTGTTTTAATGGATCATCGTTTTCAAAACCCTGCTAATGCTGTAATTGGTGGAATCCAATCTAATTTAACAGCATGAGTAGTTTTATTCAAAGTTAAACCAAACTATTTTATTTTTATTTTTGACGAAAACATTGAAAAATGTTTATGCCTTCGAATCAAAATAACCAATTCTAATTTCGAATCTACTTTGCATGATCTTTCAATCAATTGGTCAGCGGTTTATGAATTTACAAATACTATTAATACTTCTATCAAATTGATAGACTCTAATATTATTGAAATTTTCGAACCAAACAATTTTGATTCAGAAATTAAACCAAAACTCGTAAATCTCATAGATTTATCAATCCCAAAAGGATAGTGTCTCGAAAATCTTTCAAATACTTCTGAAAAACAGAAAATACCAAGTTTAGAATTTTTCTCATCAGGAAAAAATCTTTACTTCAAAAATCCAAATGCATCAACTAGTTTTAATCAAAACCTGGTTTTACCTCATACCAATGTTTTTTATTATCAACAAGATGATGATAAAGAGAGTATAACAAGTAATCAATCCTTTTGTACTCCTTATGAAAGTTTTTTTTTTTTCAGGTTTTCATAGTATAAATAGTATAGAAGCCCTACGACGAGCAAATAGTATGCATCAATAAGGTAATACTGATAATGCTCAAATCTCTATTTTTACATGAGATAATCCATCTCAGCAAGGTACAAGTGATAACCAAACCTATTATCATTCTGTAAATTTTGCATTAAATTCACACACTTTTTCAACTAGAAAAACTAAAAATGAAGATATTAAATGTTTCATTATATAAATAATTATCGTATCTCTGCACAAAACATGCCAGAAATAATTTCTTTTGCTAAAAAGGTTCATTATTATACTTACATAGAAGGATATTTTTATTTTTCAAACTATAAACCATATAGTTTAAATATTTTGATTGACACAGGAGCAATAATCTCTAGCTGTCGACCCAATATTTTACCTTCAACAAAATGGTAATATATGAAGCATCCTATAATAATAATAGGTATTGATGGTAAAGAAACCATAGTTAACCTAAAAGCAAAAACTATTCCTATTACCTTAAACAATAGGAAATTTATTATACCTAAAATATTATGTTTTCCTAATATACATGGAGACATTCTGTTAAGAAATAATTTTATACATAAATATTTATCATTTTTTGTTTTCCATGATTATCTTATGTTCCTCTTTTATCCAAGCATAATCATGTTTGTGATAATGGTTTTTATCCAGAAATAACACATATTTTTGAACTTAAAGCTATTAATGAAAAACATTGGCTTTATAAGATTTTGTAGGAAAACTTCAGTGAAGACCCATTGAAGCTTTGGAAGTGAAGTCCCAGATACTGTGAACTTACTTTTCATTCTCCAAAAGAGATTATTAGAGTAAAGTCAATGATCTATACCAAACAGGATATAGATGAATTTGAAATACAAATATAAGAATTACTCGACAAAGGTCTGATAGAACCAACTATTAGTCCGCACTCTAGTCTGACATTTTTGGTAAGAAATCATTTTAAAATTAAATGAGGTAAACCCCGTATGGTTATTAATTACAAGAAATTAAACCAAAACGTTTTGATTAATTTAGCAAATCATGCTAAATAATATTTCTAAACCTTTAACTGCTTTCAGTGCACCAGCAGACCATTACCAATGGACTGTTATGCCTTTTGGTCTATGCAACACCCCTTAAATTTTTTAGCATTGGATGGATAGTATTTTTAGCAAACATAAACAATTTTACTGTGTTTATATTAATGATATTTTAGTTTTTTCAAATACTTTGGATGAGCATAGAAAACACTTGAATCTTATTGCTCAAGAATTTATTTTACATGGTATTATTTTAAATCCCAAAAAGGTTGAACTTGAAAAATAAAAATTAAATTTCTTGGTCTTAATCTATCTGTAAATGGACTAACATTGCAGAATCACATTATATCAAAGATCAAGGAGTTTTCAGAATAACTGGATAATGTCAAACAGCTACAACAGCTGTTAGGTATACTCAATTATGACAGGTAATTTTTCAAAAATCTTTTTAAAAAAGAAAGCTATCTTTTGAGTAAATTACGAAAAGATAATGATATTGTCTGGACACCCAACGATTCTGATATTATCAAACAGATCAAATCAGATTTCACCACTATATCTAAAGTCTATTTGCCTAAGCAAGGTGATTTACTTATTTTAGAGACAGATGCCAGTGATGAACATTGGAGATGTGTTCTTAAAGCAAAAAATCTTCATAAAAAAGATGAACTGATTTGTGGTTACAATTCTGGTAAATTCAAACCGAATGAAATAAATTATATTATATTTGAAAAAGAATTATTAACCATAAAAAATTATGTGCAGCGTTTTCACATCTATTTGACCCTAGAGATCTTTATTTTTAGAACAGATAACCAAGTAATAAAAAACTTTCTTCAAAATAAAAAGCTTTCTGATAATCTCAGGCGAATACGGTGGTATAACTTTTTTGTCAATATCATTTTCAGGTAGAGTTTATCAACGGAGACAAAAATCTCCTGTAGACTACTGAGTCGACCACATGAATTAAGAAAAACAACCAGTCCATGATATAGGTGGATAGAAAACAATTAAGAAGAAGATAGGTAAAAAACCCTCTTCATCTTCCACTCCTTCTTCTCCAAGACCTCTGGTCTCTACAAATCCTAACCCAGGATTTAACTTTTATACTAATCCTAACCAAAGATTATATCTCTACCAACAACCACTTTACAAACCTCTTTTCATGAAAATTCAATCAGAAATTTCTCAATTTGCTTAAGATCCAAACGAATAGACTCCTATGAGTTATTCACAAATAATCTCTTCAGCAGAACAACTGCTTGAAAGAACAAAACTCTCTAACCCAGAGATTAAAGATTTTTATAACCCTACACTTGAACCACAAGTCTACAAATTGTTAAACAATATTTGAAAATCCTATCTCTCAGAAAACAAATCCAACTTTCAAAAAGGGATAACCAAATTAGCTGAGTTCTTAGTCAACCAGGCTAAAGAATTTCAAAATTTCAAAGAAATAGCTTTTCAAAGTCTTCTATCAATAAATCTGCTAAAATAGCAAGATATTGATTTCTTTGCTTTGAAAGAAAATCAGTACAGTTTTCAAGAGATCAATAATTTCTTGAATCTATGTGAATATTTTGAAAAAAAAAAATTGTCTCCTCTAAGCTAAACAAGCTTAAGAGAATTCTTTTTTTTGAAAAAGCTACAGTATTCTTAACCAAAAAATTATTTCAGCAAATTAATTCTTCTATTTTACAATCAACAAAAAACTTGTTGATAAAATTTTTTTTTTATTATTATACTTTTACGTATATGTATAATACTATTTTTAACGAATATATACCTAAAATCAAATTTTGACTTGATCATGAAACCTTTTATGTAAAAAGCATTGAATTTGATTTAGTCGAAAAAATTACTGTACAAAATTTTTTTTTCACCTTTTAAAAGATTTTTCAACTTTTATAAAACATCGCTTTATTGAATGTATAAAATGGTCAAAACATTTTTACTACATTCATTTTACCATATATAGTCTTTTAGGTACCTTTCAAAGAAAAAAATTTTACCAATCTTATCAAATATAAGAATTTGATAGAATATCCGGAGGATATTTTCTTCAATCCCTTAATATACTCAATCTACCAACAGACTATATCGAGTTCTCAGATGATTTAAACAAAATCATAACTAAATATACCAATCCAAACAGTTACCATTTCCAAACAGGAACTGATCTTATGAAAAAAGCAAAATTCTTTCTGCATCTAGCCACAAAACCAGACTATCTAAAAATAGCTTGCTAGACAGATGACAGACGCATTTTTGTTATCAGATTTCTTGAACTACATGACGATCTTGATATATAAAATGCTTCAGATGCAATTGAGCTATTGAAAAAATTATCAAACATGAAAGATTTAGATCATCCAACAGAATTACTATACCAATACCAAGAAGGATGGCAAATGTAGAACAAATCACATTCTGGATCTCCTCAATCTCTCCAGTCCCTTAAAACACCAGATGAAGAATTTCATAACTTAAACAGTGCTATAAAAGGATAAAATTGTGCATATTCTAATTCAGGATAAGCCAGAACAAACAGTCGACACTAAAAGACAAACTATATTCCACGCCAACGACCAGCAGACAGAAAACATTATAGTAGTCAACTGTAATAGTCACTGTAACAGACAGATAAAATGTCACTGTAGCAGTCACTGTAGCAGAAAAAAACAGAGACCTACTACAAAAGACACTATAGTAAGTCATTGTAGCGATACTGTAGATAAAAATTTTACTGTATATTATAGCAGTAACTGTACAAAATTACTATTCATATATTAGAATTTTTTTATTTAAAGCCTAAGTGTATCTAAGTTAGAGGAGGCTAATTCTTTTCTTTTGTTCTTTCTTTTCTCACTCTATCTCTTCACCTTTTTCTCTCTCTTGTTTAATGTCCTTCACTTATAAATTTATACATATAACTTTTGTAATCCTTTATATACAGATTGATGACGTCTTCAAACCCCAAAATTCTATGGACAGATTAGAGTTTTTCATATATATATATATATATATATATTTTTTTTTTTCTATCTTCCTATTACAATAATAATAATAAAAAGTAATGGATATGTTTATTCATAAATGCTCCATGGTCCCATTAACATTTTTCTTCCTTACAAATGATACACAGTGTTTTGAAATAATTACAAATAAATAAACGATTAAATCAGATATGGTTACATAAACAGTTTTTCTAACAGGTAGAGAAACATATGTGCAAGAACAAACCAATCAACATCACTACAACATGAGCTGAACAGTAATATTCTTCAGGATCAGGCATGTCCGGTTGAATTGTTAGAAATGGCAGTTGAAGCTTTCCTGAAACGTGTAGGCGTAGACCTGATCCAACTCTTGCCACCAATCATGTTCTTTGTCAAGAAAAACTCTGCCTCTTTGTCCGTCAGCTTTTCTGACCATTGGACCCTTTTCTTTGTATCGGCTCCAGGTCCATAACATTTATATTCTCTGTAGAACACCGTGCTGTGGAATCAAAGAAAATTGTCAACAATTTGTTCAATTTCAAATTTCAAATTTTTACAGTAATGAATAGAAGAAAAGAAGATAACCGATTGATCTTGTCTAATTTGGCAACTTTTTTGTTACCTTTGCTTGGACGAGTCTCCCCAGTCATCCCATCCCTGGGGTAGTATCACATTAGACATATAGGTTAGGGCAAAAACGACCCTGGAATATGCACCCCATGGCCTTCCTAGTACAGCAGTCCTGACGCCAGTGATCTTGCAACCCAAGAAGGTAAAGCCTGTGTCCTCTGAAGGAGACTCCCTTCGTTGGGCTGTGATAGCTCCATCTGCTTCTGAGAATGTATGCAAATGGCACCTCTGAAAAAAAGAAAAAAATCCCAAGAGAAATCCATATGTATCCAGAAGTCTAGTAATGTGTAGGAATATTGGCAGTTAACGGATATTCCTGAATGTGTTACCTCAAAAAGGGAAGCAGCATTCCCACAAATGAAGTCAACGGCTCCTTCAATGTAACAACTGCTGTAATAATGTCTTCCAGTATCATCTAGCAGCGTATCCTGATAAGATAAAATTTTGCATCCAAAGAAAGCTGCTCTATCTCCAGATACCCTTAATGCAACTGCTTTAGCCCCAGATCCGAATGTATTCTATTTATGAAAAAAGCCCAAAAAAAGGATATTTTAAGTTCAATTCTCTGTTAAATTATTCAAAAATTCAGTCTGTTTTATCAAATATCGTATAATCAGAATTCATAAGTGAAAATGCGATGTGTTATTTAATTGGAGCTGTTATGTATACCTGAATTGTGAGGTATCGGCCAACAAAATCTGAAGCCAACACAGTAAAGGTAGGAGATTCAAATATATCCCCACTATCATTCCAAGTTATTATCGAGCTGTTTGCCTGTGAACCACTTACTGTAATGAAAGGCTTGTCAGCAGGCACGACAATCTTTTCTTTATAGATACCGGGCTTAACCAATATGAAGACAAGTTCTTTGTTGTTGGATGGCACGGCATCAATGGCGTCCTGTATCTTCCTATAGTCTCCCTTCCCTGATTGGTCAACTCTTACAAGTAAGGCTACGGAAGTTCCAGCAGCGTCTGCTCGAGGGCTAGCTATCATGAAAATGAATAAAGTTGTGACAAAGATACAAGTGTAGCTAGAATTAGCATGAGCCATCGTTGGAAAATAATTTGGGACGACGACAACTAGATTTACTATGACCTTGAGGCTTGAGGTTTAATTTGTTTCTTGATCAAGTTGATGAAGTAAATAAGGAGACGAACTTGTACTAAGATCACTGATTTCTGGACAGATTATGGTGGATATTGTTCTTTAATACATTTCAGGGGCCGATTTCTTGCCATGGAAGTGTGACATATATACATCGTATTTTTTTTTTAAGTTCATATATGCATCAATTTCAAGCAAACGTGTGTACGTCAATATCACAAACGGCTGGGGTAGCTCCTAACACAAGCAGCCGGTAACTTGAAAATTTGGAGGACTCGATAGGCCATGGCCGCCCTTTGATTTTGTTCTAGCTAGGCATCCACTTGATCTTAATTTCACTGAGTTAGAATTCATAATGAGTTTAATTCATTACAAAGGTTATGTTTCTCTTTTTTAAGAATTAATAATTGCAACTCAAAAACAAATTTTCAGCACTCCTGAAATTATATTGTTAGTCTCAATATTTTAATACAACTAGTCTATTTATTGATAACACAATAAAAATGAAGAGTTTTTGCAATTTTGTAATTTAAAATAGACAATTTCAATCATTGAATGAATAGAAAAGTGTATCTAATTTACAAAAAAAAAAAATTATAAATGTTCAAATTTGAATATCAAATTTATTATATATTATTTTTTAAAAATAAATATATAAATTAACGAAATTAAATTTGATGTTTAAAAATGTATTTAGTTAAAAAAAATTTTAAAATTCCATTGTAGTAATAAATTAATTGATGTTGGACTAGTGGATCAATATCATTAAATATCTTATCTAAACGACGATTTTTTGTTATTGATATAGTTTAGCCCCACTTGAAAGGAAATGATGGGTTCGGTTCGGCTGCTTGAGATAAACGTTACAATTTACAAATGTAAAATTGGAAAATATGTGGGATTTAGCTCAGCTTAATCCCAAGTTCTAATAACTTGCCAATATTCATGTTGCACAAGTCTTGAGATAGCTTAAAAAGCACCCTTGGCATGTTCTTTCTGGTTCAAATTCTTTGTTACTGTCAATTCACGATAACTGGAGGATGTAATCTTTGTTTGAATGGGTGAGTTGACCATGGCTCGGCCGGCTTCTTTACCCCTGAGTTGGTGCCTGTCCAGCTGTCCGTTGACCCTTTTGCAGCTTGGGCTCTTCTTATCTTTTCCTACTTTTGGGTCAATTAGCTGTTCAGCTCCAAATCTGGTCACAATGTGAGCAATGGACTGAAAAAGGAGTCCAGATTCAGTCCACAGTCTAAGCTCAACAGTTAATGAAGAAATTCAGATCTTTGTCTTGCTCAGAGCCTCAGACCCAATCTCAAACAACTTGGGTTTATGAGTTAGAAATTAGGGGATGAAATATTCACCAGGTAGAAGGAACCTTTCACTTTTGTTTAGTTTCGTTCTTGGGGTGTTGCTTTTGCTTTTTCACCTACTTTGCCTTAAAACTTTGCAATTCCCATCTATGATTGCGTCAGTGGATGATATTGAAGCAACAAGCACCGACCATTATTAGAATCTAGAAGGAAAATGAAAAAGAATGACATGACAAAAAGCTTAGGAAAGAACAAAAGTCGGTTTGCTTTTCTCCTTTGTTTTTCATTACCAAGAAGGAAATTAAGCTCCAGAACCAGCATGAACCAAAGGTCACTTGCCTAGTATTCATCGTTGGTGTATGCATGGTCTCATGACTGTTAATAATTAGTGATCTTCACGAACTCTTGATGGCTCCTTAATTTTAAATATTGTTCTTTTTTTTTAATACCCTTTCTTCTCTTGTTGAAGAATTTTCTATTCTTTTCTCTTTTCATCATTGCAAAGAGCATGAAATTTGCTCTCTTTCAAATAAAATCTTACCCATACAAACCTCAATTATTCGAATTCGAAAGTGAATGTCATATATGTGTATATTTTAGACACGTGTATATTCATTTTTTAAAGAATTTTCATATATTTTGAGGATTAATTTGTCTAATATTTACCATATACAAATACTTTAAAAAAATGAAAATTTGGAGCAATAAAAATTTAACTCAATAATAAACATCTTTTCATGATTTTGATTGCCATGAATATCTTCATCGATCTTGATTCCCACTCAAAACATCTGGACTACACCAACAAGTATGACCTACTCAACCTGGTTGTAAAATGCCACAGAATTCAATCCCATCAGAACTCAACGCCAATTATTGTGAAATCAGTAGCTTCAGCAGTGAGCCATATAAATTTATTTGGGATACCAAACAAGGTAAACCATTTATTCATGTAATCAAAGACATTGGGGTAATTAAGTAGGGACTGAAAATTGGCAGAGCTCCAATTAAACTCTTAGCTGGCATATGTCCTCTGAATCAAATTGTGAATGGCACATCCGAATTCATCATCAAATCAAGAACAAAACTCTTTTCTTTTCTATGGGAGGTGAGACTGCAGTTTTCTAACACCAAATCTTATCCAGGTCGAATATGCCGATCAAATTCATGTCGATGCACCACCCATATTTGTCCTTGTGGGCATCCTACCCGTTGGCAAACTTCCAAACTGCAAAAACATGATTCCTTTTCAACCAAATTGCAATGCCATACAGTGCATCCATGAAAGAAAGAGAAAAAAAAAGGGCTCCACCGTTCACTTCCCCAAGGATCATGGGTTTTAAAAGACACATTAATATTTTGCTTTGCTTCTACTGCTCATTCTATAGCGTGGCTGCATTTATTTGTTTTGGTATGATAAAAGTAGAAAGTTCAAAACTAAAGCAAACAGCTTCCCTTTCTTTTTCTTTTTTTTTTTTCCTTGTATGGTACAAACAGACAGGCACCTAACTTAGCACTTCAATTTGCTTGAAACCAATTGAGTAATGCGGCTCATTGTAGTTGTTGAGCTAGGACTTATTTCATTGCCATTGTTATTATAAAGGGCTTGTATCTGAGCTGGAGACCTTGATTAGCATGAACGTACGACCACTTTCAGTTCCCCAACTAGACTCTTCATTCATTCATTCTAACAAGCAAGAAAATCCCATGAAAAATACTGCTAACTACTATTTAAAATCACTAGTGGCAGTTTTCAGCAGTCAGGTCAAGGTCTCCTCCATTGCATCTAGATTCGCCAGTTGGTGAGTGGACCCTAATGTTTGGGTGGTCTGTTTTGAAAAGCCACAGCTAACACCTAGTGTCAATAATTGATGATTCTACTTGAACCCAAAAAAATGATGTTTTTAAGAAAGCAAAATTAAAGAATGTGTATAAAATTTATATAATCAATCGAATACAGTACGTAAGAATATAAAAGAGAAACAAAAGACCATTCCTTGCTATAATTGAAGCATGCATGACAGAATCATTCTCATATATATGTTAGGAGTTCCTTTTAGAGTCTAGAACACAGCCAATGGAGGGGACAGTAATCATACAATTCGTTCATGTCTATCTATAATTAAACTACTACTCTATATATAATAATATAGCAATAAAATTCTAGTGGGTCTAACATTTTCCTTTTCGGTGGAAATTAATGATGCAAAGAGTCAAGGATTTAAAGCTTAAAGTTTAAACAATAGCCGAAGTTCATTGAGGCCCCTACATCTAAGCTTACCTTTTTCTGACGAAACTGGTGTAATTAAGTTAAATCAACATCAACGTTATTTTATAAACAAATTAGATTATAATCCTTAAACCTTTTTAGGGTTTTTTTAATTAGCATGGATTTTCCACAATTGACCAACCACTTTCTCACTGAATTATGAAAAGATATGTTCAGCAAACATTAGAGATTCTCATCGAAGCTGTCATTTTATAATTAAACTTTTGTAGAAAGAAAAATTCCCACCATCCATAGAAGCATAATTCAATGTTTAGTAACAGGACTGTTTGATTAACGATTATGCAAGTGTGACCTTACGACTTAAAGTTGAATTCACTGTATCTTGTTCTTAACCTGACACTGACTGGGTAGTCGATGTGTCATGGGCCTGCATTCTCTTCGAACTAGAGGACATGTAGCTAATTACAATCCACGCGTGCGGGGAATATTAAGTAATTTCTTTAAAAACTTTTACTTGCTTCAATAATTTAGAAGCGCAAACATTGAGCTTATATTCAAAGTTGACATGGCTGACTCGGTTGTTGCATGCTAGCCAGCTACATGCAGCTTCCAGGAGGGCGTTGGAGCTCTTCCTAAGTCTTCAATCTTTGGTCATTTCAACCTTTGACAGCGGCCTGGGATCAGCCTATCAGTTGTACGTTTCTCAACTTCTCTTGAAACATTTCAATGATTATCGCAAAAACATCAAATACCAAAAGTTCACAATCACGTTTGCTTTACTTTCATTTTGTTGCATGAATTTCCTTTCCTTTCTTTCTCTATCTTTGAGTTGTTTTAGGGTTTAGTTATGATATTTATATATTATATAATCACATTTTCAAACCATTAAAATATTTACAAGTCTATTTCGAAACTCTTGTTTGGTGTGAACCCTTTTCTTGATGAAAAGATAATAGTTTATTTCTACTTTTCCTTTTGTGAAAATCTGTCTTAATTACAATACAAAATTATGTAAACCTTACGAATTTCAAAGACCACTTTGGGGTAAGAGAATATTACTAATTACGAAGAGGTATTATTAACAAACAAAATCTTTTTGAAGATGGAAATATATAATATATTCTTCAATTCTTGTACAATTGTTGAGGAAATATTCTATGGAAAGGAATCACGAGGGACTCTTTGATGCCTAACTGCCTCGTGCATATAATTAATCACTAATTTTCTCTTATATAACTCTAAAAAGAGCAATTTTTTTTAAAAAATTTAAGGTTGATATAACTTTATCATTAATTAAAATTAACAATTTAATACTTTAATTTTATTAATAGACCCTATGATGAAAATAAATATTATTTAAATGAAATTTTAACTCTCTTTTAATTTATGGTTTCATTTTATTAGAATATCATTCAATTATTTGTCAATTTCTTTAATTAAAAAAAAGAATAAAAATAAAAAAGGTATTATTAATATTTTGTAAAAATGATTAGAATCGAAAATTTTCATCTAAATATATCAATAAAAATGAGGATATGAAATTTTGAATCATATTAATCATACATTTTAAAAAAACAAACATAGTAATTTTTCTTTTTGGAAACTATATGCTAATATCAAATGTAAGTGTAGAAAAATAAAATATTAAAAACAATTTCAAAGAATTAATGCTATTTCAAAATTTAAAAAGGTGATGTGTTGGTTTTTTATTAAAAAATTACTTTGAAATTTAAGAAGTTTTAATTTTGAACTTCCAAACTCATAAAAAATGAAAAAAAAAAACTTTAATTATGTTTTTTTAGAGTATAATAATATTTTAATCAGGGAAAATCCAATTGAGGGCTCATGTCTTCATTTCTGCCACGTGTCCCCAGTGCGATTTCCTTTGTGAACACACACAAAAACCCGCCAACTAAAATTAACGGACAAAAGTGAAAAAAAAAAAAAAAAAAAACGGTTTTAAAAAATTACGAAGTCGTTTAAATTAGAATCAATGAGACAAAGGATAAAAAAGCAGAGCCTTCATCGTGTGGTAGTCGCTGTCGCGGAGAAGCTTGAGGCGGTGGCAGCGACGGAGAGAGGCGGAGACAGACAGAGGAAATACAAACAATCAGACAAACCGCCGGGGTTAACGTTTTACAAAAAACGGTTACAAATCTCTAGGTTTCTCATTTCTTTAGACTCTCTCTCTCTCTCTTTGATTGGAGATTGTGTAAATTCTCCATTTTTGCCTCTCCGTTTCGTGTTTTCCGATGAATTTGTCTCTACTTTCTGGAAATTTTAACATTTTTTTTCGAAATTTTCTTTTCAGCATTTTAAATTTTTTTGAAGATTTTGTTTTTGTTTGTGTTAAAGGTTTCTCCTTTTCAATTTGGATCCAATAACAGAATAAAATCACCATCTTTCAGGTAAACTCCAAAAACCCAAGAAAAAAAAAACAAAAATCTTCAAAATTTTACATTTTTTTTCCTTATTACCTGATTACCTCTTCAAATTTAAGAGAAATGCCATTGAAAAGCTTTGTTCGGGAGATTGGAAATATATCAAAGAAAAGTTCAGAGAAGAAGAAACATAATCTTAGGCGAGGACGAGCCTTTATTGCTCCAGAAGCTGCCTCTTCTTCTTCTTCAACTGCATTAGTTGAGCAAGGGCAATGGGCAAATTTACCCCCGGAATTACTTTTAGATATAATTCAAAGAGTGGAAGCCAGGGAAACATGTTGGCCTGGAAGGAGAGATGTGGTTGCTTGTGCTTCTGTTTGTACATCTTGGAGAGAAATTACTAAAGAGATTGTTAAGACTCCTGAACAATGTGGCTTTCTAACTTTCCCCATATCTTTAAAGCAGGCAAAGTTTCATCCTCTTTTCTTCTTTTTTTCCTCTATTTAAAAAAAAAATCTTTCTTTTGTTTACTTAATTGTGAGTTTTTTTTTTTTTTTTTGGGTTTAGCCTGGACCAAGGGATACTCCGATTCAGTGCTTTATCAGGAGGGAAAGGGCAACTTCAACATATCAATTGTATATGGGTCTCAGTCCTGGTAATTTTTCCTCTACTTTCTTTTTTTTGTTGGCGTTGATTGTTTTGGGTGTTTTTATTTATTTATTTATTATTTTTGAAAATGGGTGATTTGTTTCTTATAACTGATATTTATTAGCGTAATTTACGAATTTCCAGCTCTGTCAGGTGATTTGAGTAAACTTTTACTGGTTGCAAAAAAAGTTAGAAGGACTACCTGTACTGATTTTGTGATATCTTTAGTTGGGAATGATTTCTCTAGATCAAGCAACAATTATGTTGGAAAACTGAGGTAAGCTTTTAGATGTGTGAAAATTGTTAGTTTCTCAATGATTGGTCTCTTTTTTCATGAAATTTAAGAGTGAAGCTTTAACAGGTCTAATTTCCTTGGAACCAAGTTCAACGTTTTTGACAGTCAACCTCCAGATGACTCTACAGTCCAATCCAGTTGTCAATCGCGTCTGAAAACTCGTTTGAAGCAGGTGCCTTCGAGGGTACCTATAAGTAACTATAACACAGCCAACATATCTTATGAGCTCAATGTTCTTCGCACCAGAGGTCCAAGAAGAATGCAGTGTACCATGCACTTGATCCCCATCTCCGCGATTGAAGAAGTAGGAACTGCTCCTACTCCAATGGCATTCACAAATTGCCTTGATGAGGATTCTTCTCCCTTGTTAGATTCAGAAGGAAAAGGGCCACGAGTTGGGTTCGACTCAACTGGCTATTATAAGCCTCTGAAATCAGTGCAAAGTGCACCCTTAGTTTTGAAAAATAAAGCTCCTAGATGGCATGAACAATTGCAGTGTTGGTGCCTAAATTTTAAAGGACGAGTTACGGTGGCTTCTGTAAAGAATTTCCAGTTGGTTGCTGCTGTAGAGGCAAGCCAAAATGTTACAGTGGCTGAACAAGAAAAAGTGATTCTGCAATTTGGGAAGATTGGTAAGGACATTTTCACCATGGATTATCGTTACCCACTCTCTGCCTTCCAAGCCTTTGCAATCAGCTTAAGCAGCTTTGACACAAAACCTGTTTGTGAATAGCAATTCTCTTGTTCCCTCTACGGGCATGATCATGCTAGTTTTCACTAGAATTTGATTGTAGATATTCTCTTTGGAAGCTCTTTAGGCTTTGCCATTTTCATGGGCAACTGCCTTTGTTACTATGCATACTTCTTTTATGTAACGAGGGCTACACAAATGTATTCTAAGTTTTACTATATATTTATTTTTGAATGGCAAACTCCGGACTCTCCCCTGAGCATCTAGCTTCATCACATTCTGCGCCTTTTACATTTAAAATATTGCACAATATTCAAGGGAACTATGTTGTGATAGCATATCACAAAGTTTTTTCCTCCTTAAACTTGGTGTTCTATTGCAGATTGCAGTAAAAAGTGCATTTTGTTTTGCATAGCAGTATAGCATGAGAATGCAACAGGCATTATGGCTCAGGAGCTGGTTCTGGACAATATGGCATCCTTATTTTCGATATATCATAATCATTCACTTTATCATGAATGCATATGCTTTATGCAAACTGATAGGTAATTATTAAAAGTTGTAATTTATGTGGTCAGAGAACCCCTATCTCCTTTTCCTTGTCCTTCTCTCCACAGCTTTAGCGGCGACCATGTCGTCTAGGCTTTTCGGGATTATCAGGGTCTGAGTCACTTGGTTCCGTGAAAAGCCCTCTGCGGCCTCTTCTTCTTACTGTAGGCTCATATTTAAGCTTCTCTGCTGGTGTACTGTTAAATGCAGCCCTGCGTGTTTCAAGAGGCTCGGCCTTTGCACTAGATTTGGTTGATTCTGCTAAGTTGTGTAAAAATTCTAGATGAACGCCAGGATCATTTCCGTTCACAGAACTTTCAAACACAAGTGAATTATTGATGCTTTGTGTGTTACTATTGACATATGCTCTTGGTGATGGATTTTCTTTGGTCATTGAATCCTTGGGCTTTCTTCCCTGGGAGCTTCCTTCTCCGTCAGTGGTAGCATCAGGACTGTCATCTGGGTTGGCCTTATAACCCCTCTGAGTGTGGACTAATCCATCCTTTTTGGTTGATTCTGACCCCATGTGAAAAGAGGCTCCTCTGTTTTCTCCTGCTAGGGTTAGAACACTGATCGATTTTTCATCTGTAGGCAGCTTTGGTTGCCCTGTTGCCAGCTTATGAACAAACTTAGAAATATCTTCCCTGATCTCTTTGTGCAGAGGAACTTGTTCCCAACTAGAAGTGACATGCTTTTGATGAGAATTATCTGGCGTGATCCCATCTTTTGAATGTGTTGAACTCACAGTTTTGATTTGTTTTTCATCAGTGCTTGTGATTGTCCATGCCTTCTTATCTTCTTGCTTTTCCTGGTGTCTTTTTCCCGTTTCCAAAGCAGCCCCCAGTAGCTCCCTTTTTTTTGTTCTCCGCTCTGGCTCTTCTTGAGTTGGACTCTTTGTTGGTCCTTTCTTGCGTTCTTCTTCAACCTTCTCCCTTTCTTCCCTTTCCTTTGGCATTCTTGGTGCTGAAGGTGTTTCTATAGCTGCTGCAGTAATTGGTGCAACTTCTTTTACTTCGGCAGTTGCCTGGGAAGGCTTTACTGCAACACCAAACGGTTGAAAAGTGGTTTCTTGTGAGGCAGATGATGGGGGTTGAGTAGAAGTTGGAGGCTGGGACCCTTCTGGTCTAGCTGACGGTTCTGCAGATGTTTGGCCCGCTGGCTGAGAGGCCAAACGGGATGGAGATTGTTGCTTGGAGACTGCCTGTACCGTTGATTGGGGCTGGGAAGCAATGCGAGGTGGAGATGGAGGCACAGAGGCAGCCCTTGCTTGTGTGGGTACAGGAGATGGTGGTCGGGTTTGAGAGGCAGCCTGGCTTTGAATTGTTCCACGAAATGGCGGTACTGGCTGAGAAGTCACTTGAGTTTCAGTGGCTCTACGAGATGGTGATGGTGGAACTGAGGAGGCTCTGATTTGATTTGTTAGGCGAGATGGTGATGCTGGCTGCGAAGTAGCTTTGGATTCAGTGACCGCACGTGATGGTGCTGCTGGCTGAGTTTCTGTTTTTGGTGCTGCTGCTTGAGACTGGGTGGGAGTGGTCTGTACTGGGGTGATCCCTGCAGGCCGAAATGGTGGCCGTCGGATAGGGATGGTAGTGGCTGACTGGGCAGGTGCTTGAGTTGGAGCTGCAGGTCGAGGTTGTGGTTCAGCAGCAGGACGAGGAGGAGACGCAGGGCGGGGAGTGATAGCTGATGAGAGCCAAGGGAGTCGAAAACGAAAACGTTGCCTCTGATCTCCCATGTTTGAAAAGGAACAGAAAAATAACAATGAATAACAATAGAGATGGAAGTTATTCGGGGTTCTTTCTGATGATGACTCACGTCTGATGTGAGATCTGCATATATAGGTTTGAGTCTGATGCCTTGGAAAGCCTACGAGACATTTGCACTCGTGACTTTCGTCTAATTTACATTCTCAACCTCCTTGCTTTTACGAGAGGACAAATCATTTTATATAATATTATGGATTCTTAAGGCAGATTTTTCTTGTCTGGTCGGTCTAGCATCTAATTTTTGTTTTCTTCATACATTTCATGTATCTGTTATTCAGACAAGACCGGGAATTGTTATTCTTTTCTTAAAGGCCTTGCCAGTATATACTTGCTTCAATGTCATTTTTTTCTTTGACGTGCTAATTAAAAGCCTTGTTCAACCAGCTTTGAGGACAAGATAGGGCTTAAATTAGCAGATGCCAGAATTTCGCTTTCTGCCATGGCAAATATTATAATACAAACTTAACTCTTAACCCACCAAAGGCATTCTCTCCGACAATCACCTGGCTTCCTTTAGTCATTCTTTAAAAGAAAGATTTACGTTATGTTATAAATCTTAAATTTTACTCAAGTTGGGGCTAATAGATTCTTGGAGTATGTTTTCATTGTAAAACAAAAACCAAACTTTTTAAAGAAAGTTTCATACTTTATTCCATCTTTTAATCCTTTTGACGCAACTGTTAACTTCCCTGTTATTGTTATGCCTAAGATGGAGGCAAGGAACATTCCAACAAAGTGAATGGCAGAGCCAAGTTTGCGTTTTCCTTCATCTAGTTAATCAAGTAAAGAATTCCCTTAATATAAGACGAGGATCAGCGAAATATATTCTTGCTTCTTCACCATAGAAAAGACCGGGACCGGGTTCCTAGCTTCATTGTCAAAGGAGCTCCCACAGTCCCAATATCAGCTGTCCCTCCAAGGTATGTAATTCTCACTTTGTTTTATTGTCATTTTTAAGCATTATAAATCTGTAATGCACTTTATAATATGTAATGTTATAGTAAAAAACAAGGGTTTGAATTACATTTAAACAAAATTTTTTATTTGTAATCTAATATTGATGTACAGTCCCAAAATGCGAAGGCTTATCCAAGGACTAAGATCATGCCAGGAAACAGTCAAGCTGTCGATTCTAAAAAATTCACGAGGCAGAGTCTCCATTGAAGGGAAAAACATGCTCTCACGTTTTGGTTGTGTCACTTCCTCTCATCCCATAGAAATGCAAGAGAAGGGATTAGACAACATGACTGTTGCAGATGTACTAATGACAAAGGGAGAAGAAAATGTTGGGTCTTGGCTTTGGTGCCGCATCAATGACAATGTCGATGATGCCATGAAAAATGTAGGTATCAAACTACAATTTTTTCTTTTCAGAATCTAAAACGGACACTGTTTCACTAATTCCTAGTTATTGTCATTGTCTGGAGATTGTTATTAAAAGAAAGGAGGAAATTTGCAGATGGCAGAACATAACATTGGGTCATTGGTGGTGTTAAAACCAGGAGAGCAACTACATATTGCTGGAATCATCACAGAAAGAGGTAAAGATCACCATAACATTTCTCTTATATTGCCCAGAATCTAGAGACAAATCACAATGTTCATCAGTATCTAGGCTTCCCAGGATCTACAACAAAAAAAAAATTATGTGATAAAGGCTCAGCCTGACCACAGTTGGCATTATGTTGTTAACGCTCCAATATTGACTAGAATAATCAATATGGAAGTTTAATCATAACAAGGAATTTCTATTTAAATCTTTCTAACTTTGAGACCTGTTAATTTCCTAACGGTGGAATGGATAAGACTACCTGAGGAAGATCATTGGGCAAGGAAGATCACCTAAATTCACGAGAGTAGGGGAAATCATGACCGAGGAGGTAATTTCTCTCTTTCAGAACTTCCATTTTTTTTATCACTGAACTCCACAACATTTAAACCTGTCATAAGTTGTCATTTGTGAAACAGAGCAAGTTAATTACAGTGAAATCTGATACAAGCATTCTTCAAGCAATGCAACTTATGACAGGTATGGTGATATATGTATCTGAATGCATGAAAGATGGAATCAACTCGTTTTTAAATTTGATTTTAAGAGAAGCAATGAGTATCCTTAATGATGACAGACAATCACATTCGGCATGTTCCGGTCATAGATGGGAGAATAGTAGGCATGGTTTCTATTGTAGACGTTGTCCGAGCAGTGGTGGAACAACAGAAGGGAGAATTAAAGAGATTGAACGAGTTCATTAAAGGAGACTACTACTAGAATTCTACAAAAGTTTGGCTGACAGAATTCAAACGAGAACAATGGCTTCAAAAGGTTCCTAGAAACCAACTTCATGTTACTTATGCTCACATCTTGGAACTGGGAAATGACTTTTTTTCTCTTTCTTTAAATAAATAAAAAGGAAAAACACGAGATGAATGAAAAACGGTATAGCTGCCAACCCCAGGATGGCACAAATACCTCTTCCTGTGTGGATCAATAAAGACAGAAAATTGCAAATAGAAAAGTCTAGAAAAGACACACCTATATTGGTGTGAGCCATTGCATATCTGAGATTAACATAATCTGCCTTGTTGATACAAAAACAAACGGAAAACAACAAATTCAATTAACAAGGGAGAAAGCAACCTATGTCTTTCCAATAATTATTACTACAAATTACTGTGATTCAACAAACGGGAGAAGCCCATAACCACTAATGAGAACCAAAGCAAGATCTCAAAAGAAAATTAGGTTGACAAATCATCATACCTTGTGTCACCTGTTCATCAATTCATACCACTGGCTACTCAGTGTGCTAAGATTTCTAAATTTAACTATCTAACCATCTCATCAATCTGTTGCAAGCAAAAGTTTCTGAATCATTTCTAATGACAACGCTATCTCATTGTGGGTCTTTTCCTGCTGAAAGCCTGAGAAGCTATTGGGGCAACCTGTAATTGCTCTGATAAAGCAAAGCCCTTGGCCTCCATCAGCCCATGTATCCTTCCAGCATCCTGCACAAAACCACATGCTATAAGTGCATTTATAGTTCTCTCAAACTCATCAGGACCCAATTCATCCTTCTTAGCTTCCAAAACTCCAAGAGCCTGAAGAGCTTTTTTCTCAAATCCAGCCCTTGAGTACATATCACAGAGGCTTACTTGAACCTTCAAAGGAGGAACTTCACCCTGTTCAGCAATCTTTCCCAATAGCAGCTCAGCCTCATCAACCAGCTGCATTTTACCCAACCAATCCACAAGAACAATATATGTGGCAGTGCCAGGTTCAAAACCATCCTTCTCCAGCTGCAGTAGAAGGTTTAAGGCCTTATCCAATAAAATTTTCTTCTCATAAGCTGCAATCATGCTAGCGGTGCACTTATCATCAGGTCTGTGGCCAAGTTTTATAATGTTGTCAAAGTTGCTCCTAGCTTGATCAGGGGTCACCAGCTTTCCCATATGCCTCCAGAAGCAATGAACATGATTCTCTAGTCGGTTGGAATCCCGCAAACTGCATGGTAGTTGCAATTCGTCCAGCTCCCACAGCATCACCACTATAAGCATATGACCGAAGCAGTGCCATGTAAATCTCCTCTGAGGGTTTGATGTCTCGTGTTTCCATCTCTTTCATCAACGACTCAGCAAACCTAGGTTCACCAGCATTAACGTATGCCATTATCATTGAGGTATAGACCTTCATGTCTGGTTGGAAGCCACAGCTCCTCAAGCTTTCAAAAGCTTCTTTAGCACGGTCAATATTGCCCACCTTGCTATACATGTGAACTAGAACTGTAGCAGTTAAAATATCAGGCATAATACCATTTTCAACCATCTTCTTAAGGATTCTCTCAGCATCTTATACTCAATTCTCTTTAGCATAGGCACCAATCAGTTTTGTAAAGTCAGGAATGTTTGTTTGGAAAGATTTTTCTCTCAAAACAAGTTCTGCTACCTATAAATATTCAACATCATAATAGCAAGTTCAGAATATGTAGCTCCACTATCAAAATTTCACCATGCAAATACTCATATTTACATGTGTGTTATTCAAACGGGTCATGAAGAGAAAGATGCATCCAAATACATATACAACAAAGTTATCAGGAAAAAAAAAGTATTTATGTTTAGTCATTGCAGCCTAAAATTAGAGAAAATTCAATTAAAAATATAAATAAATAAATAAATATATATGTATGTGTATATATATATATACATACACACACACATACATACATATATATATATATATATATCAACAACTTATATAGGTCAAGAATGCCAATATAGATCATGCCATAATTATTCAGTAATATGGGATGTAACAACATGAAAATATCATGCAAAATTAAGTGACAACATGGGCTGAACAATAACGAAACTGTACCTTTAAGTGTATGTCAGGATTCAGATGTTCCAATCTCTCAAGCAAAGTGACCCAGTCAACACGACTAGGTTGCAAAAGCTCTATCCATTCAGCCAAAAGCTGAAAGGGATCATCCTCCTTCTTTAATGAAAGGATTTTGTCCATGACCGATTTGCACTTCGCAGATATTGGCTTTGGCTCCTGAGGCCAAACCATTTCCTCTCTCACATGAATTTTATCAGCCACTTGAACCCACTTAGGATCTGATAAATCCAGTCCATAGATCTTATACTTTATCTTTCCCTTTCTTTTTGGAAGAGATGCAACCCAAGGTTTATCCTCTGCTACAACAGCCTGTTCAGTGAAGATCTTTCCACCCTCTGCAGGCTTTCTATACCTAAGACGTTCCATCATCCCATAAAAGTCATTCTCCTCCATCTTTTCTTTCGCCCATTTGAACCGGAGCTCCCTCAACAAATCCCCACGAATCCCAACTTCACTAGCAAACCGACACATTTCTTTCATTTCTTCAGATTGCAAAAACTGCTTCAATTTTTCCTTCTTCCTCGCCTTCTCCATATCCTCCAACACCACATTACTCACTTCCCATACAGTCCTCCACAAATCTTCACTACATTCCTATGATGGCATTGCCACCGTGGAACTGCTGGATACCACCCTTCTCCATCTCCTCCGCAACCTTCTCAACAAAAATCAAAAGCATCCCATCAATTGTCTCCTTATTACAATCTGTGTATACTTCGGATAACTTCTCATTATCCAAACGACTTGCGATAAAAACTCATTCACCGTTTCATCCTCCTCTTCCTCAAAATCACTAGACACAAGCTTTGCTTCAATACTGGCATTATTTAGCTTGCTTCTTGTGTTGAGTGGTTATATCTAATAAAAGGAAAAATGAGTCTAGGGATTTGAATAAAAGCAGAGCTTTGATCACTGTTTTATGGATGAAGGGAATGAGATATTGAGGCGGAAATGGTTGATAAATTTTTAGAATTATTGGAAACCGGTTGTCCTTTTCCATTGATTTTTGATAAATTATTGATTGTTTTCGGAGAAATTAAACGCTTCAAGTTCATGTTTAGGAGCCAAAACACTAATCCTAAATTCCTCAGAAACTTCAAATGAACAAACGAAATTCGACTTATAAATGCAAAGACCTGGGAGATCAAAAAATTTAGTGATGAAATAAAGGATGGGAAAGGGGATGAAGAAGGCGGACCAAGTCTGTTTGGTTCACGGGAAAGAAAGAACAAGAAACTAGCCAAGAAAGATGGGCGTGGGTAAAGGTTACCGGGACCGTGGATTTTGCCCGTACAGTATTATAATGGACGGCTTAGACTTTAGGAGTTTAGTGGAGGGACTGATGATGAGGGGAGAGTATTAGGGCTCCTTGGCATGCTTACGGTATTTTTTTTTTTTAATTAAAAATGAACTCAAAAAGAAAAATGATCACATTTTGAATTTTTAAACTCAATTAAGATTTTTAAACACATTTTTTAGAATATAATAAAAAATTAGAAAAATAAAATATATAACCTCTTAACCCTGTTTATATAATTAAAAAATTACACAAAAAATTAACTCTAAAAAAAACATAAAAATCATCTCATGAAAAAAGTATACAAAATTAGGTTAAACTAAGTACAACCAAAACAATTATAGATGTAGTAATATGAGAGTACGTATTAGAACATGGCAAAATTCATGGCTAATCCCCCTGATTAATATAAACAAATATGGATTAATGGGTTGGACTAGCATCCTATTCCTGGGTTCTCAACGAAGAAAGCCATTCAAGCACCAAAAATCAAAAGGAAAGTCAACATTTGACATGTAAAAGCCTTGATAATGTCTTTCTCAGACATCCAAATGCCTTGGAAGATGAATTTTGCACTCTGATAAATTCATTGCTGGAGACATGCGAGTTTCCTTGGGTCGAAAAGCTGCTAGGGACTGAACATTGAGAAGCATCACTTTTCATCATGAATTCCAAGAGGTCAAGCAGTATTAATGCATTCTCGGATCCTCTAGAACTGCCATTGACAGATATGCTGAACAAAGATTGAATTATGTTTTCTGTCATTATCATTTGACAATATCCTGTACTGTCATAGCATAAAGACAGGAGCACATCAACAGCAAGCTCTTGTTCCTTCTTATTGCCGGCTTCCAAGAGTGTGGATATCGAAGTACATAAATTGGCTTCAGCAACTTCAATTCTAACCTCCTCAATATTGCATATATTTTTTATAATCTCAATGCAATAGCCTGCAACATTTGAATCCTCAAGCAAAGAAACCAACTTGGGGATATAACCCAAATATGCAATATGATAACCAACATCACTGCCATTCAACAAATTACATATGATCTTCAGAGCAAGCATGTAAAATTCTGTGACTGTATTGTCAAGAACTTTTAGGATGGAAGGCAAAACGCCAGATGCCACAATTCTGGTCTTATAGTACTGTTGCCAGGATAAGACCTCCAGTATTGCAAGGGACTCTCCAGCTGTTTCAGAATCCAACAATGATGCCAACAAATAGATAACATCTTCATCACAGGGAGGTAATTCGGTTCTGCAGGTAAGAACAGATACTTTTATCATCACATAATAAGTGAGTGCTTCTGCTATCCTAGGACAATGCAACTTTGTATGAAAAGTAGATGTCAAGAACAATAAATCAAAGCAGTGAAAGATTTATAGTTCAAAGTTACAGCACACAATAGAGAAAGGCAAAATCAGAGGGCAAGTGAAGGAATAGATAATCCTATGCCAGTGAGTACGAGGACCAAAACTTCCTCTAACTTTCCAAAGCAGCCAGCACCACGGGCATTCAATCAACTCAACAGATTTACATGGCACTGGCTGTGCCAATCTTCCTCGAGGGGCTTTAATTTGGCTAAGCTCCAGCTACTAAACTTTGTTTGCCACTTACACTATGTACCTATTTCCCATCATCTGAATTTATTTACCAGATAATAATTGTATTATGCAAGTGGGGAGTCACTTGAATACTTGATACGCTTGATTTTATTTATTGCAATATTTATACGTTTTCTAATGATGGGTTGACCTTTTCAAAGAAATATCCAAGCGTTGATTGTTACATGCCTCCCCACTCAGGTCTAGTTATTTGCCTCTTAACTCGATAATATTTTTACTAACAACGCCTAAGTAGCTAAAGAAGAACAAGGGATACCAGAGAGAAATGTTACCTGCTACTGCTCAAAATCGCTAAAAGAACCTCTGCTCCATCTTTTTGCATTTTTATATCACATAATTCATTTGCATCCTTCAAAAATTTAATCACAGGAATAACATAACTATTTGAAAAAGTCAAATGCTGGGCCTTATCATTGTCTTCTAGAAGACCTTTAACATTTTCAATAGCCTTGCATCGAGATTTCCAGGAATGTTTATCAAGTTCAGAAAGAAAGGCTGCACCAATATCATGACTACTTGAAGTCATTGAAGAGTGATGATATCTTTGACTCTGAGAATCTGCAGCAACCTGAGGCAGCCCGGATGTAATCTCATCATTACATTTCCCATCTGATGAATCTAAACTAGATTCAGTACTCATTGAACCAAGAGAGACACTCCCTATTTCAAGTTGCAAGCCAAGCACAGAACTGCCAAAGCTAGCAATGGAGCTGGAAGAAGGTTGCTGTAAGGAAAGCTGTGAAGGGATTGCTTGTGCATGTTCAGGAATGTTAATTCCATGCCTCAAAAGCCACTTTGAAATGAGGCCTTTCATTTCTAAATTTGGAGCGGGGGACAACTGCTCCAACCTTGTATTAGTCACAGGGCATATCTGATTGCCCTCGTTAAACCACTTCTCTATCCAGACTCGCTCAAATGTTTTTCCAGAAGCAATAATTACAGGATCATACAGCAGTCTCATTGAGATAGGGCATTTGAATTGCTCAGGAGGTTTAGGAATGAAGAAGTCATTAGGTGAAGTCTCTTCTTCTTCTTTTTTCACTCCGTGCTCCAGTTCCTTCGGTGAAAACAGGTTCTCTTCCTCAAGAAGAATGATGCTTTTACATCGGAATTCCCAAATTAACTTTTCATGTTTTTTCAGAAGATATAAGAGATAATTCAAAATTTTGTTCTTAGTTGGGTTTGTATCATGGACTTTTCGAAGTAGTTTCTTGATACATCTTTTCTCTATCAAAAGAGCAAAAGGAGATGTAATACCCAGCCTCATAGCTGCAAGTCGAAGAGCCTCAATTTCTGATTGCATTTTGGAGCCTGATGCAGCTATGTCCTGCTTAAGCAGTGCAAGTATAACCGCTCCAGCCTCATATTCAGAAGGTTCTAGGGGAAACCTTGCACTCCTAAGCTCATGTATAATGCCAGATATCTGTGAACAGTAATTTCCCATTAACTACAATTAAGGAAAGGGCTAAAAAAGACTGAAGATAGTACATCAATTTTAAAAACTTAACAAACAACACTATATATTCTTTCACCACTATAGTAACAAGAGCACCAAATAATACATGGAATAACACGAGTAAATGAAGCACTTAATAATTCTCATGCCAGGAAATCTCAAAAAGAGAAAAAGTTATTAGTTATTACAAACCTTGTCAGCCAAGAACAGTGGCACCAAATCTTGAACTTGATTCATGCAAATCTCCGAAGTTTTCTGAATTTTTTCACACCTCAAGAGTATGGCTTTTGTTGTAATTGCCTAAATATTTCATAAATACAATTATTACCCAAATAATGTCAAGCAAAACCTGAAAATTATGTGAATGGCTTACTGAATAAATTTGACTATCACAAACCGAAGATGGCAATGTGAATTCAAAGTGTCAAGCTCTTCAAAATTAAATGCTTACCCAGGGAACAAAATAACCCAATGGGAGGATGAATATATCAAGACTGTAATAGTGTTCTTAACATTACATTTTGGTTGATTAGGAAAAAAATGATATGCTGCTTTAATGTAACATAGGAATTTATTTCATAATAAAACGCAACATCCTGGGACTAGTGATATCAGTTTTTAGATTCAGCAGATCCTCCTTTCACACATATATTTTATTTCTTTTATAAACAGAAAAGTAAAATTTAAAAATGAAATTACCAAGTAGAGTTTGCTGGATTCAGAACAGTGCTGGATTAGTAACTTGGCTTTATCCATTGCCGATTGTAATGAGCATAATGCCTGCATTCCTGATGTGCATCGTGGCCTAGCAGACTCAAGAGCTGAAAATATGTACAAAATCCTATCAATGAGTTTCTTGAGCTCCAAGCACATTAAGCGATGTACCTGCATCCAATGGCAATTGTCAAGAAACAAACACAACTAAACTAGCAATAGTGGCTTCGCTCTCAGTGTAGAAAGGAAAAATCAAGAATTTCAAATTGATGACTGGTAAGGTAAAAAAATATAACCACTGGATTGCAAAATGTTTCCCGAAGTCTTCTTTTTTTTTGGACAAAAACAGAAGTTAAATTTCTTTCAAAAGGGGTCTCTTCTAGTATCTATTCTCCTGGACTCTTGATGACTGGTAAGGTAAAAAAATATAACCACTGGATTGCAAAATGTTTCCCGAAGTCTTTTTTTTTTTTGGACAAAAACAGAAGTTAAATTTCTTTCAAAAGGGGTCTCTTCTAGTATCTATTCTCCTGGAATCTGAGTCACTAACAATCGGAACTTAGGGATATATATAACTAATTCTGAAGGTTGCCCGAATTTCTTGAATCCAAAATGAAACCCTCTGTTGAGCTAGAAATTCAATAAAACAACAGCAAAGAGTTCTCATAATGCTATGAAGGCTGTTAAGAGAAACTCAGATTTTACTATGCTAAAGTGAAAATAATATGTTTTTCATAAAGTTCAAACAAACTGATATGTAACTGATAAGGCATCCAAAAAATAAAAATGCCAGTGTTTTTACTTACCAAGTAACCAGTTGACATTTACCTTAGTGGTGCTGTAATATGGAAGATCAACACTGTCAGCAGTACCAAGTTCCATATTATAAAAGTATCCTCACTCTGCACATTGATCAAAACAATTCGAGTCCTCAAACGGTTATTTTTGCAGAATACATCATTACAAATTTGAATTACAGTTGCACGAGTACTTCCATCAATGATTTTACCAACATTATATAGTCTGTTAAGTAAAATATAATTGGAAAGAATCGAGACCAGAGGATGGTTATGGATGAAGTCAAGTAAATAGATAAAAAGAATCAACCAAGCTACAGGAGCATTAACTATGCAGCACATCTTAAATGCTTCCTTTAGAGCACAAAGCTTTCTTGTTTAAGATCCTTCTAGTTGAAATACTGACTGAAAAAGGCTCCTCTAAACATCACAAAATTCCTCTGAAAGTCAAAAATTGTAATCAAGAAAAAGCAAATTAAGGTCATGTTTCCTTTCTCACAAGGGAAGTCACAAAGCAGCAAAACAAGCAACACATGCTGATTAATTTGTGGATTTGTCAAACAAGCCTAATTATCAAAGGAACAAAATTCTGGTAGCAATAATTGTAATGATTTCAACAGTCTATATGCAACCAAGTAAAGATGATGACTCTTTCTTAGGTGTAGTTACAAGCCAGGGCTGAAATTCATTGCAAAAGCAAGCTCTCAAGAACTTGAAAATCAAGCAAATGACATCAATTATGCATGTTAATAATCAGTTATTATTCTCTATATTTCAGTAGGTCTGTCACTGCTCACAAGTTAAACGTTGGAGTTTAAATATAATTAAAAAGAGAACTTACCCAGTTACTCTACCGGCAAAAACTCAGCAACAGCTACACTTAAGACCCAATATAGAAACATCAAAATGAACAGCGCGGACCTAACTTGAAGAAGTTCTTCTTATCATAACACAGTTGAAATACCGACTTAGTTTTGATCAGTTGCCCAAGAGGAGAGCTCTAAGGGGAAAAGATCCTAGTAAAGGACGGTAAACACAACGAAAATATAATCTAAAGGTACCCCATGGCCGTCGAAGTGGTTTGAGTTGCACCGCTTATACTTCACACAACAAAAAATAAGAGAAAACAGGATTTATGAGGAAAATAGTCTCTGTCACTCAGTTTTCCCGAGGAGGAAGACTACATATTTCCGCAAGTAAGTTTTCAGAAGGAGGCTTACTTAAGGACCACTAAAAGAAAGAGAGTGAGAGTGACAGCCGGAGGGGGGGTGTATACTTGGATATGTCCCTTTGAGTGTTTAGAAGCCTGCCAAATGACTCCATTAGCACGTTGACTTCTTCCAAAATGGTAAAGCCTGCCAACAAAAATAGAGTTTGAAGCCACTTAATCACCAAAATTAGACATAGTATTAACGTTAGTACTGTTATATTCTTTCCCTTATAAAGTTTTATTTATATTACTACTTGTTTTTTTAATATAGAAAAGAATTCCTTCTGCCATCTATATCTAATTGAGAGCTTAATAAATATATAAATAGATTAAGTAAACCTGATTTCTCTGAAAAATCAAGAACACGGTCACCACTAGTTGCGAACGGCACAACCTTAGGACAAGTATTTGTATTAGTATAGTTTCTTAGACGTGAGCCAGCCGCCAAGAACCGCCAAGAAACAACAAAAAACAGACACAAGCTAGAAGCTAAAACGACTTTCATGTCAGCTAGGCTAGGTCGTAGACCAATGTTATGCAAGACATGCTGTCATCTTTTTTGGGTGGTGGTGGGCAGCTAGACATGATGTTTGAAACAATAGAAAGCAGTGATTCTAAATCTACCCAATAAACGGAAGACCCTAAGCCATCTCGACGACCCCATAGTAGACTTGGAATAAAAACAAATTAATAAAGTCTCAATCAATTCACAGCACTGCCTTTAAATCAATGAAAAATAAAAAAATGGCAATTAATGTCATTTTCAATTGGCATTTTTTGGTTATTGGGTCTCGAAGCACTCTACAAGCAGCCGGCATACCATGCATACCGTCATTATTGGAATGTATCCACTCATTTTTCTGTATCCGATCAAGTTTGAGCATCAGTTCTACATTTCTACCATTTTTTCCTCTTCTGTTCTGCAGGTTACAGATGGAAGAACTATTCCACATTATAAATAAATCATAAGGGTTTATCTAAGTATGACCAATTTAATAAGAGAAAAGTACCTGATTGGCAATGGACACTCTGAATTTGGTGTTTGCGCATTATAATTGAATCGAATCAATCGATCTATAATGCTGTTTTACTTGGTCAACAATGGAAGGAGTCGAGTGAGCAAACTTTTTAGTTCCTTAGGTGACTACTGTCAAAAAATTTGTAAACTTATAATTAGATAAAATTTAAAAAATTATCATCAAGCTTTTTTTAAAATTTGATTGATCACTTAATAAATTTATCTTTTTAAAAAAATTTTAAATTTGATTAAAAATCTCTAAAAAAATAAATTTTAGTTTGCATTTTATAATTAAATTCGAAAGTTCGATTACGTATGAAAAGATTATAACACCTTTGTCATAACGTTTAGATCCGGGGATCTATCGCTAGACATTGACTTTTAGGGAGTCGCCACCAATCTTTTTTATCTATGTGCGATTAGCCACCTAAAGAATCTGTCCTTTCAGGGGACACCTAAGCTTAAGGGTCCCTAAAAGAATAGGTTCAGGTCTGCTAACCAGAACAGGGTTCGAGAGTTCGATTACGTGTGAGGAAGGTTATAGCACCCTCACAACGCCCATCAAAAGATGATACCCGCTTAAATTTGTGTTATCTAAAAGCCTTAAAATTTCACCAAGTAATTAATTATTGAAAATTATTCTCACTTGACTCTAATACTTTTAGCAGAAAATTGAAAAAATTCCCTCACCTCAGGAGTATGCAAGAAAAACTACTGTTTCACTTACAGAGGCTCCGTCGTCGGATTATTTAAAGAAAAAAACAAAATCAAAATTAAGATAGAAAGGAAGGAAAGAATGATTTTTTTTTGTAGGGAAAATTGATACTTTCAACTTTTCCCCAAAAATATTTTTTGGAAAATTTCGATTTTCAAGGAAAATTGATACTTTCAATTTTTCCTCAAAAACCCTTTTTTTTTAAAATTTATTTCTAAGGAAAATTGATACTTTCAACTTTTCCCCAAAAATATTTTTTTTTTGAAATTTATTTTTCTTTTAAGAAAAATTGATACTTTCAACTTTTCCCTAAAAATATTTTTTGGAAATTTATTCTTAAGAAAAATTGATACTTTCAACTTTTTCCCAAAAATATTTTTTGAAAATTTATTTCTAAGGAAAATTGATACTTTCAACTTTTCCCTAAAAATATTTTTTTTGGAAATTTATTTTTCTTTTAAGGAAAATTGATACTTTCAACTTTTCCCTTAAAATATTTTTTGGAAATTTATTTCTAAGGAAAATTGATACTTTCAACTTTTCCCTAAAAATATTTTTTTTTTGAAATTTATTTCTAAGGAAAATTGATACTTTCAACTTTTCCCTAAAAATATTTTTTTTTTTAAATTTATTTCTGAGGAAAATTGATATTTTCAACTTTTCCCCAAAAATATTATTTGGAAATTTATTTCTAAGGAAAATTGATACTTTCAACTTTTCCCTAAAAATATATTTTTTTGGAATTTTTTATTCTTATTTAAAGAAAATAAAATAATAAAAAATAAAAAAAATAAATAAAAAGAATATTACATAAACCTAATCTAATAAATAAAAAATAAAATAAACAAAGAAAAAAAAAAAAAACCTGGAGCGGCTCGGATCGCGGCTCAGCTCGGCTCGGCTCAAGGAAGAGAAAACGGCTCGGGGGGAACGGCTTGGCTCGGCTCGGAGGGGGTTGGCACGCGCGGGTCAGAAAGCGGGTTAACGCCCGTGTCGGGTCGGGTTCGGCAAAACGCCGCGGATCCTCTGGGTTACTTAAGGCCAAAACGACGTCGTTTTGGGAGGGTATAAAAGGCAATCCCTTCATTTTTTCGGCAGACACGCTCCTCCAATCTCTTATTCTTTTTCTCTTTTCCTCTCCCTTCTCTCTAAAAACTGAAGAACCACAGTGCCGCGATTCTGGAAAATTCACCGAAATCTTGGAAATTTCCGTCGGAAGTTAAGCCGAAAGATGGTGCGGTTTCTCGGGTATACATAAATCGTCAAAAGCTGAGCTCTGGTGCATCGGAAACTTCAATGGAGGTTCGACGAAATTATTGCCAGAAAATTCAAATTCTCGTCGGAATTTTCGTCGGAATCTGGAAATTTCCCAGAAATTTCCAGAAAAATTTTTCGCCAAAAATCTCTAAAAATTTTTTCTCACTCCCAGAACACTCCTAAACTTTTCCTAGCTTCCTATACGCCTCCTTTTCTCTCAAATCAGTAGCTTTGCTTACTGTTTTCTATGTGTTTCAGTCTACCACAGGGGTCCTTTATATAGGGATTGATCAGGAGTTTCTGATCAATCCCAATTCCCCTTTGGATGAAAATTCAATCTTTGAATCCAGTCTGGACTCTTCTGATTGAATTCCCACTCCCAGTGGGATTCTTCAACTTTCAATCCTAGCCCTCCAAAATAAAAATCAAAATAAAAAAAAAACTAGATAATTAGAAAAGATAAATCAGAAGATATTATAGGATAAAAATAATAATAAAAAAATCAGATATATAATTAGATAAGTAAAAATACAAAAATAAATAAAATAAAAAAGATAAAAATATATATATACATATTAGTAATATACATAAATAATAAATACACATAAATATTAAAAAATAAATAAATAAATATATACATATATTAATACATAATAATAATAATAAATAATACAATACATAAAATACAAAAGAAGAAGAAAAAAAATACAAGATAAAATTGAATTGGGCTTACCCATTTGGGCCAGGCCCAAATGATCTAGGCCTGGACCCAATTGGGTGTCTACAGCTGCCCCTCTTTGCACATTTTCTGTGAAACAGAAATTGCGTAAAGACGTAGACACCCAATCAAGACTTAACTCAACATTTTTTTGGTTTTGTTTTTTTTGTTTTTTTTTTTTTTTGTTTTTTGTTTTTTTTTTGTTTTTT